TCTGTAATTATTTCTATTTGGTATAACCTCAAATAATTTTACTTCTGAACTGTGTAACTTTGTAATGATTCATAAAAATATAGCTTAAATGTTTCACAAACAACAAAAATATCATTACTTTTATGGAATTGATCGCTATTAGAGGTTACTTTCTAGTCCTATTTTGAGATGATCCTTCAAAAATAATACTTGTGTTTACCTATTTATTTATTCTGCTGATGCTAATGTGCTATTCCAATCCAGCAAGACTCAAATTAGATTATTTAAGTTTTCTACTTGTACTTCCAGATATCAATTAGCCATTCACTTAAAAAAAAAAAATCAGATTTCCCACTACCTACCACTAGTAAAATTGAGAGAAAATATTCTGATTAACCAACTCTACTGCTTTATAATTATACAGTATCACATTTGTAAAATCCCAACACACAAAATTCAGAAATCATATTTGTAAAAGAATGTTGCAAATTAAACAGAATGGATTAGTGTTATAACAACTTCTCTCTGTCTGGGTAACTTGATCAACAGGTTTTTCATTTGCATGCAGCATAATCTTAACTGAACACCACCTCATCTAGGATCAGAAAGGAATCCCCTCCAGGACAAATGTATTCTTACTGCTGCAAAATATGCTCTAATGGTTTAGGTTTGATGTACTAACTTTATTATCTGAAATAGAGAAAACTCCTGTTTTATTTTTTTTCATTATACTTTTTATAATGAAGTGAGACAATGAAAAATGTTTCATAAAGACATTTTACTTTTCAATTCAACAAATTATGTACCGTAGGATTTCTGCTAAATGTAGTTACTCCATAAATATATTTAAGAAGTTGTTCTTAAATTAGAAATTGTTTCTTAGAGCAAGTAAAAAAAATCATTTTCAAGCAATTTTAGAGCCATTCCAAATTTGAAACAGACTAAGCTCAAAATGGGACAATTTTGAACATAAAACACTCCTAGAATCATTGAACACTCTAGTCTACACACATTAAAAAGTTGTTTTTCACTTGAACTGGAATGCTTAATATGCAAATAATTTATAATACAAAGGATTTTCCATACCTCTTCCATACAACAAGTTCAAAATTTAATAAATTCAATGAAATCTTACGATCAATTTATATGAAAGATAATACTACTATTAAAGCAACAGGTTTTTACTATTTTTATTTACTTTTATTCATCAAATTTATAAGGCCGCCGTTTGCATGTTTTTATAATGCTAACATGTAAATACTAATAATACTAAATTTTTAGTCAAATTATTTCTTTGTGCAAGCAGATCATAAGAGTCGCTTAATCATAGAATGGCGCCTGAAGCAATTTTAGAAAGGAAACAAAAACATGTTTTTAATCGTCTCAAATTATTAACACTGAAGCAGTTAAAATAGGAGATCAAATTCCATTCGATAGAGTTCATCAGCGTTCAATAGAGACAATAAATCTTTTGGACCATCACAATGAACTCTCCTCTGAATTATCCCACTTGAAAAAATAGATCTTCAGTCATCAGACATATTACCTAAAGTTCCTATTATTTCAGTGACTCATATAGTGCAGTCTAATTACTATTTTAAATAAAGTTTGTGGAGATAGTCTGGCAGGCAAGTCCTTGTTGTGCACAGCACAATACACAAACAAGCATCATGAAGAACCAGGTTCAGATAATAGACTACCACTTCCTTTTCACAATTGGGAGAATGATATCCATGTCTGATGACATCTCCACAGACATTGTTAAAAGAGGATTAACACTGTAAATGCTGCAAATAGTAATATGTATCATAGAAAGATGGGGGGGGAGAATCAACTACTTTTAAAATAATAACAATATACATACTTGATTTTGAACGTAAACAGTTTTTAAATGAAGCCATTTCAGAACACTGGCCTTCACTGTAAAAAAAGCAATACTAGCAGATACCGCCATACCAATTTATGAAATTTAGCATACTCTGAATAACTCTTAGAGAGCAATTCTTAGCAGATTACTGGAATATTGATAGTATTATCACCTTCCATTATTATGTCAAAGATAATCAATGTATAACAATTATTTTTCTCTATCAAGTATCCAAAATCAAAAGATTTTAGGTAAGAAACACTGCCCTGCTTTGAAATCCAGTTTCAGCACTATGTTTGATTGCAAAAAACAGCTGATAAAGTATCAAGTATATTTCAAAATTTTTGCTTGTTTTCTTGCTCGTTTAAATGATCTGCTTTCTCATTTATAATTACAAATAGTTATTTGCATTTTTAAGCTATCACAACCACATTAAGCATTCACATTTATCTCACCAGAACTGAGAATGACGCTCATTCACAAATCAGGTTGCCCCGGTGTTTGACTCACAAGATTAAAAAAAGAAATCCCATGATTGAAGTGGTAATTCAAAAGCATTTCTTCTCTACTTCTTAATGTTTTCGTCCTTTATTGTTTAAGCCATGAAGAAGCTATTGCTGGTAAAGGTGTGAAAGTTAATCCAATCATAAGATTCCCTATAAGCATCACTCCTGTATTGCCAATTTTAGACAGTACTTTAGAAAATTTACCTTAAACTTTCATTGCACACATAGGAGCATTTTGCAGAAATATAACTTTGTCACGTGTTAAAGAATGATAGGCAGATATAGCACTTCTAAAAAAATAAGCATAAATTCTATAAACTTTTAAAATTAAAGCACTATTGTTCTGTGAAAAATTCAAAATACAGGAAATGCTACTGAATCACATAAGAGTTATTTATGGAACTGATACACGAAAAGATTCTGTCATAAGTATAAAAGTCCATTTAAAAATTATCTTTGGATGTCCTCCAACACTGTGCTTCAATGTTCACCAGAAAACTTCCATGGATTCAGAAGAAATAGCACGCTTGTTTATAAAGGCTCAAGCAGGAAATGAACTACACAGTACGTTGCCCACTCCAAATATTTCTTCCATCATATATCTATTCACTTTCAATCAGCCAACCTGAGAGAGAGAGGTAATGGATATATCTGCAGGGAAAGGTGGAACTTCCAAATACCATGTTGCTAACTCTCATTTCACAGCACATCTACTTAAATGACTATATAGACCTATGCATGTCTTCTTAAAAATAACTTTCACTGTATTCCATGCCGATTTTATGTAAGACAAATTTCCAGTGTTTAACCGTGCAGCCTCAGAGATTGAAAACTCATGCTAATTTTTAAATGGTAGAGGCAAACTTTTCTTAAAGACTGCTTTGTATTTCTTAAGATCTTAACAACCTGCACACTGAAAAAAGTTGAACAAATTAGGGTACCATAGTTGAAGAAGTAAACAGTAATTCTACAAATATAATATGCACAAACTAGCTTGTTTTAAAATGCCAGGCACAAGCATATGAGCCCACCATAACAAATTATACATCAATTTACAATATAATGAATACAGATGAAGCAAGTCTGAAGAGACCAGTATTCAGTTTAAAAATGTAAAACAACTTACTTTATTTATATCAAAGAGGTACAACTATTGTCAAAAATATTTGGATAAGTTTTAAAATTCAGAGGGGGAAGACAGTATTGTGTTAATCCAAGCAGTAAAGGAAAAACTTGCAACCTACATAAAATGTTGAAAACAAACTTTTTTTTTTAATCCTGACACAGGCTCATAAAGAATTTCCCAACTAAGATTTAACATTTTCTATCCTGTTATCAGAGCAGATGCATTTTTGGGGAGGGCTGGTGTGAACAAAAGCAGCGTCCTAAATCAAATCCCTTTTGCCTTTTAAAAACACCAAGCCTGCAATATCCACTTTTCTTTTGTCTTAAGACTTAAAACCAAGATCCACGGGTCTCCCAACTTACTAAAATGGGAATGGTGTAAATGTTGTGATGTCAGCAAAAGAGACGCCTGAAAGAACAGTTGCTGCTTTGGTTTAAAAAAAAAAAAAAAAAAGCCCCAAAACTGATGTTAGTGGTCAGGGATTCAGGCCCTTTGTTTAGAAATAGATGCCTTTCCATTCCCTGAAGGAAGGATGCCACTCAAAGATAAGAGAGAGGAATCCACACAGAATGCAACCCAGAGAGAGCCCCTACAATGTGGCAACATTTAACTTTACATTTTGCTTTACGCGTGTGCTCAAAAATAAGCCCCCCCTTCGGTTCAGCGAGGTTCCCCCCCTACAAGATCGAGACACGGCATGGTGGCTCCTGGAGCACCCCGTTTAAAAAAAAGTATATCCTGCCGCAGAACTCCTCAATCTCACAATGGTGGTCCCTCTATCCAGAACACAAGAACTACACCGAAGAAAGGAAAGTAACTACGGACTAGTAGTTGTTTCGTCAGCGGCTCTTCCCGCCCTCTCCCGCAGAGAAGCTGCAATCTATCAGGAACAGTTAAGGTGCCTCCGATAGCTTTGCGTCTCTCTCTCTTTCCCCCCCCCCCTCCATGTATCCCCCGCTGGTTACAGAAGACAGGTTGAAATGGTGGGTGGGGGGGAAAGATGTGCAAATACAGGTGTTTCCACACCGCCCCCTCCCTGAAAGGCCGAGGGGAAGCCCAGCCATTGTGGCAAAGAGTCTATTTAGCCGGGATTGGAGCAGCGGCATTAGCAACACTGAGACGAATGTTGCTGAGAGGAAAGGAGCGCCAGAGAGAGGGATTCCGCACCACCCCAAAAAAATAAAAATAAAATAAACCCCAAAAGGCGGGCAAAAGCAGGAGCATAAGAAAGCCGCGCGAAGCTTCTTCCCAGCCGGGCACAATCCCCCCCAATGCTGCAAGGGGACTGAGCTGGGCACGAAGCCCCCTTTGTGCCAGAAAGACGCAAGTCGGAAGAGAAGGAAGGGAAACCCGGGCACGGCTCGAGGCTCCGCTCCTCCATCTTCCAGCCAGCTTCCACCCTGACCCACACAGACGAGCCCGGAGCTGCCACTGGCGGGCAAGCGAGCCGCCTTTTGCAGGCCAGGCGGAGGGGCAGGGCTGGGCTCGGCTGCCGCCGCCGCCGCTCGCGACTCCCGCTCACCTCCTCGATGGCCGTCACGGTGTTCCGGCACTGAACCATCCGGGTGGTGAAGTTGGAGGCGGTGGGCGACTTGTAATCCTCATTGGTCTCGGACACGAATTCCGACACGGAGATCTGGTCTGGCATGGCGGGGAAGGGAGGGAAGGAAGGAAGGAAAGGGAAGAGTAAGGAGAGCGGCGGGGCGGCTCCAGGAGAGGAGGGGACGGGGAAAAGAGATTGGAAAGGCGGCGAGCGAGAGGCAGGCAGGCAAGGCAAGGCGAGGCAAGGGGGGGGGAGCCTCCCCGCCTTACATCGTTCAACAAACCGCCGCTGCTGCAGGGCTTTCTCCTTGCAAGCTAAGCAGCTCGGAAGCGTTAAGGAGCTATTATTGTGACCGACGCGCAGATACACCCAGGCAGGCACGGACACACACACACAAACACACACGGAAATGCCCTAGTTTTGGGAAGGGAAGGGAGACCGAGCGAGCCACGCCGCCCTGCCTTCTAATCACGCACACGCGGGGGAGGGGGGGTAAAGCCACACCAGTACTCCTCCCACTATCACGCACTGGGGGAGAACCCAACGCAGCGCCCGCCCCTCCGAAGGCCAGAGCAGGTTGTTGCGCCCTGATAGGAACCAGGCGAGGAGGTGGAAAGACCCCCGGGGGGGGGGATTGATTGGGGAAGGGTATCTGCACTCCCGGGCCCTGGTACTCTGGCAATGCTGTGGCTCTGCCCCCTTTCATTTTCAAATACCGTCTTGCAAGCTAGGGAAAGTTGGAAAGGAAAGCCCCTAGAGATAGCTAAACTGGAGCCTGGGTGTGTGCGTGGGGGTCTCACCTGTACTTCAAGCAGGTGCTCCTAAATGTTTTGTGCTCTTAAGTGTTTTGTACTAACTAGGGGGACAATGGTAGTGGTACTGTGGTATTTGAGAGGTTGCCACAAAGGAAGGGCTCAACTTATTTTCCAAAGCACCAGAGGGCAGGACAAGAAACGATGGAGACTAATCAAGGAGAAAAGCAACCTGGAATTAAGGATAAACCAGCGGAACAGCTTGCCTCCAGAAGTTGTGTGTGCTTCAACACTGGAGGTTTTCAAAAATAGGCTGGACGGCCATTTGTCTGAAATAATATAGGGTCATCTGCTTGAGCAGGAGGTTGGACTAGAACAGTGATGGCGAACCTTTTAGAGACCGAGTGCCCAAACTGCAACCCAAAACCCACTTATGCATCATCGAGTGCCGGGTGGGTGTGGCCCATTGGCTGGATGTGGCCCATTGGCTGGGTGTGGCCAATTGGGTGGGCGTGGCCCACTGGGTGTGCGTTGCTGGGGTGGTAACGGCCAACTGGGTGGGACTAAAAAGTTCAATCAATCAATTCCAACTTTGCAAAATCTTTTTTTTCCCCGCAAGAAGTTGAAATTGACTGATTGAACCTTTTTTTTTTTTTTTTGCACATGGCGGCGGAGGCCTAAAGCGAAAAGGGTTTTATAAAACCCAGCTGAAGGCCTAGGACTGGGGCGACGGTGCGCATGCCCCCAGAGGGCTCTGAGTGCCGCCTCTGGCACCCGTGCCATAGGTTCGCCACCACTGGACTAGAAGATCTCAAAGGCCCTTCCAGCTCTATTCTGATTGTATAGCTAGTAGGGTCTACTCCTTTGTAAGTAAGTCTGGCTCCCCCCTGAGGGTGGGCTCGACTATGTACTTTCAGTTTCTTGCAAGTGTGAGTTTTCACCTTTACTGAAACCACACTCTGTTTGGATTTTTCTGAGGAGTCTGTTCACACAGTCCTGAATCACAAACTACATTAGTCAGTCACAAGCTTTGGTGTGAATCCAATCTGTATGATTAATAGCATAGTGTGTCATCAGGTTAATTTCCAAATTGTGGGTGTGTTGTGTGAACATAACCGGTTACTAGTCAAGTACAAATGAATTATGTACATAAGTGTGTGAATAACTCTGTAAATGGCATCTTATATTTTGCCATGGTTTTGAAAACAGGAATAAACAATGCCATGAAAATAATTAATGTCTGCACAAGATCTTGATGGAAGAATGAAATTATTGGAATAAAGACTTTTAAATGATGTGCTAAATATATTGAAATTATATTCATAGTAATTTATTCACTCATGCCATTTAATAATCATTTTACATTGCCATCAATAAGTGATGAATACAGCAGGACAACTAACAAGAAAAATATTTTGTACAGTAATACTGTGTTGGTAGGCAGCCAGTTTGGCAGAAGCCATCTAGTGTACAGGTAACTTCCCCATCCATTTCCAAAGTAAAGCATTCTCGATCCATGGGAAAAGGTGTATAATCCTTTGGAAGTGAAACCAGTGATGAGATGGGAATACACTCTAAAAAATATGTAGAGCTAGACAAATCCTGTATTGACTTAATTCTAATGAATGCTAACATAGAAGAAAGCAGTTACGGTAATATTGCTCCCAGTATATGTAATTAAGTTCTCCTTCTGTCATTCAAATGTTGCTGTTTAATAATAGTACTTGCAGGGAGAGTGAAGGTGACAGCAGAATCTAACACCTTGAGACCATTAATTTAGTAAAAGAAAGTAAGAGAATGTTGGCAGCATTTTCCAAAGAATTAGCAAGGCAGGAATTATTTTCCTTTGAAAGCAGGAAAGGATCTTATATTGTTTCACTGTGTCATATAAATCCAGAATGTTGAGAAAAACATGGTTACTAGTGAATAAATACCTCATGAAAACAGCCAATGGTGAACGGGCCTGTACAGATATTCTGTTTCCAAAGTTATGACAACCGCAACCTCATTCTCCAATCAAGTGATTGCATTTGGGGCAATTGGCAACCAGCTCACCCTTATGACTGTTTGTAGCATCCCTCAGTCATATGATTGTGATTTGTGGTTATTTTTTGTGGGTTTCCAACATTTTCTATTTCTGACAAATACCATCCATGGATTCACTTAATGACCACTACAAAAAATGTGGGAAAATCAGT